TCCAAGCTCCAGGTGACTTGGTTTGTTGTTATCCAGCAAGCTGGGCTTTGTGTCCCACTGAACTCCACAAGAAACCTCCATAACTGACATTTATGAATTCTCATCCCAGATTGATTAAGAATGCAAACCTTTGTGATCACTCTGAAAATTCATTTGTACTAGGAGATATTCCAGATACAGAGCTATGGAAAATACATTACTTCCTTAACAAATAAATTTTGGAAACTGAGGGGCACACGTGCTGAATATCAGCGTGCAAAGGAAAAGGCACAGGCAAAAAGCAAGCAGGTTGCAAGCACAGGCTTATCAGCCTATTTTTAAGAAATTAGACAAACAATGGTTGCAAAAGCAGTGGACTTCAGTGGAGGAGGAGAATTACAACAATACAGTTTCCCTGTGGAATTTCTAACAGAGCCATAATGAATTAATACATCCCATTATTTTTCATCTTTCTTGTTATATAGATGAGGAGACAAACACATGATAGCGGCACAGAACACCCTCCGCTGGAATATCACCCTGATAAATGCAAACTGACACAGAGTTTTAATTTGTTTGTTCTTGATTGGGAATCACAGTGTGCAGAATCCTAATGAGCCGTGGGGTGGTGATCAGCAACCCCAGACACGTTTGCCTTGCGTTGTGTTTGCTGCTCGTGTCAGCTCTTTAATTTGGGGATGTCAGTGCCCCACTCTGAGCCAGTTTTTTAGTGGCTTCATAAAGCTGTTATTACTGCCTGCTCATGCCATTGCTGGACAGCAGACACTAAGGTGATTCTGATTCAGTTAAGTTCATTTCTTCCTCTGCTTTGAGAAGTCAGCAAACAGAATCTCACTTGCTACAGAAGCTTTAAGTAAGGCTGTCAGATTAGAACCCAATTTTCATACAGTCTGGGCACCATTACCAGCTATGTTTCAGACTGAGGTGGGGTCAGTGCTTGGATTCTCAGGTGATAACATTTTACAAAGTGATTTTTCCATGGACCTACCCCGTGGTGGAAATGAGACAAGACTGGTTTTCTTGAGACCATCCAGAGCCATTTTGCTGCCAGTGAGAGCTGCCACTGCAGCATCCCACCAGTTCACCACAGAGCTCAGTGTGGGGGAGGATTTGGCAGGGTGTTATATCCTGGCTCCACCAGGAAACAGCCACTAAAATTAAGCCTGCAAGATGGAGGGAAGGGAGGAGTGGTTTGCCTGCTGAACTGAGGTTATCTCAGCTGCTCAGGGCTGTGCTGGCTGCTGGTACCTGGGCTGTGCTCTAGCACAGCTGTTTTGAACGTTGCTTGTCTCCTTCCCATCCCCTTCCCTGTATTGTAAGATATAGAACCTGCTTGTTCTCACTCTCAAGGACCTCCATGGCTAGTGGAACTGTACCTGTGATCTCTCTTGTGGTCCCTATTTACTGCCCATCAGTCAAACATTGCTGACTTGTTACATTTCCAAGTCTATTTGTGCATCCTCACAAGCCACCCTCACACCCTTGGGGGAACCCTTCATCTACACCCATCACTGTATTTCCTCCAGGTCTTTCAGCTCCCTGTTCAATGCTCTTCACTCAGTGTTTCCTTCTGAGTTGCTCCCATTTGTCTGTCTTTGTGCATTTTGACATAAGATTTTGGGTACAGAAAAAAAAGGCAACAAAGTCCTTTATTTCCCTATATTTATAAAATCCGAATTATGACAGAAATTTTTAGGCTGTGTGCATGATAGGCACAATAAATGATAGTATGGCACATCACTCCACAGAGCAGGTTAACCTTACATATTCAAATACTCAGTAGTAGTAAATGCACACAGCTCTTTCCAGCCAAATCCACTCTGGCCCAGGGTATTCTCCTTCTAAGTTATTATTTTTAATATGGGTCCAAATGACAGCAGTTTAAATAAAGTACTGAACTCATCTACTTTACTCTTAATTTATAGTGGTGCTTAGGGGATGTGCAGATATTTAAAATGAGTAAAATCAATTAACTTGTGATCCAATTATTTGTGTTAACCACTATGGGGTTTTATTTTAGAGCACTGGTTCAGACTCTCCCCGTCAAGCACCGTGCTTTGGGAGTATAAACCTTTCAGTGTGAGATACAATGAACCTGTGGTTGTCTTTTCTCTATTTCTAATCTAATTCCTATATTTGTCCTTTCATAGCTTTTCAATTCCCTTCTTTACTTTTGTTTTTGAAAGGGACCCAGTAAATGCTAGGAAGTCTATTCTTTATATAAAGGTGACTGAACAGGCAAAAGGGTTCACCTTCTAGGTATATTTTCCTGGGCCACACTATTTCACAGTAGATATGTGTCTTTTGCAATCACAAATCTGTGATTTATTACACTTTTCACATTATAAATTTAGAGCAGACCTATGTGACATTTTCTGTGATCTGATCATTCTGCTTTTTCATCCATCTTGAACAGATTTTAGTCTAATGTTCCAGACAGCTTCAAACACCCTCTCTATTTATATGGTCACTTCTAAAATGGGAAGGATGCCAGGGGTGAGTTTACCACTATGCTTGGGATTATTTTTCTTGGCACAGCCTTTGACTGTAGACATCGGCATTTCCTTGACGTGCAGGACTCAGAGCTGGGCAGTTTTGTGCCCCCAGCAAGTCTCTGTGCCCTTTCTGCACCCCCAACTCTCTGCAACTGAAGCTACTGAGAGTTCTTCCTAAATAAGGAGGAAATAGGGGTGCAGAAGAGAGCCAATCCCAGCTGGGATATCCTTGAATTAAATATCCTTCACCTGACATTCAATATTTTTTGAACTATCTGGCACATCAACCTTTTCCATCACAGTCTGGCACTGGTGGGGTAAAAATAATAAATTTATCTCGTGGCTTCACAATTATATAGCTAAATAAAACAGCCAGATCTTTTAATATTTTACCCTAAAAAGTCTTCCTGTCCCCAAGGTGAGCCAGGGAGTATTGAACACTTAATTGAATCAGATGAGAGGATTAAGGAAAAGATTTTTCAGAAGGATCAATATGAATTAGGAGCAGATGCCCAGTCAAATCTAAGGGTTAGATTCTTTAGTATCAGGCTCCTTGAAGTCTAGTCACCTTTTTAATTGTTTGGTACTGAACACTTGTAGGGAAAAGTTCTGACCCTTATGGTTCTGATGTCTCATGTTATACATGCTCAAGTTGAGACAATATGAAATAATATAAAAATATCAATCAGGTTAATTGCATATTTTCAATTAGAGAAAGAGCTGTCCAAGTCCGCTTTCCAGTCACAGCATTTGGCTGAGCTGGAAGGAATATAATCTTGGTAATCATTCTTCTGTTATTTCCAAGATTCTTGAAAGAGTTTTTCTTTTAATTTGTTTCAAAGCAAGTGAAAATATTGTTACATTATCATTTAGAGTTAATTAAACTGCAAATGAGCTTAATGAACTGTCTGAAACAAAGCTCAATCACAACCTGTTAGATATTAACTATCAAAATCAAAAGAATCCTTTAATTCTTTGTTAGATATACCACAGAAGACAGAAATAGCCAATCATTAATGCCATCCTTTTATAAAATCAAGTTTGAGGCTGGAAAGATTGAACTGAATGCACACACTCAAATTATACAGCAAAACTGGAAAAGGATTTGGAAAGATAAGTCAAATCTATTGGAAAAAAGGAAAACAAAGACAACTGAACACAGGGAAAGACATAGTTGTCCTCTCTGTTTTAGTAGGAGGAAATCCATTTTACCTACTATTTGTCCAAATTGTGAAATCTCTACATTAATAAAACACCATTTTCCGGAGTCAGTATTCTCACAAAATCTTCTGTAGTGTTATGACTTCGTGTTGTCTGTGAGACAGAGCAAAAGACACTTAGTGTTCTCCTCTTTTAGTCTTCAGCATCTTAGTCTTCAAGGTCTGGAAGCCACCTGGGTGACCTTTGCCCTTGGGCGATACGTTGTCACCGACAGTGAAGCTTTTAAGCAGTGCAGGTACAGCAGAGCCCATTTGTGTCATTAAAGTTTGTAATTCTAGACTTTTGAAGGCTTAATCCCCAGAAATGCTAAGATTTTTCTAATGATTTTTAATGGCAGTGCTGGTGTTCAGCACTTCTCAGGATCAGGTGTGTTATCATTCTGGTTTATCCACCTATCAGGCCGGCATTATCACTCTCATATCCAGTGCTTTTAGCACGTCACCCTCAAGTGCTTGAAAGGTGAGGAGTATTATTAAGTCTGACCCTTACAAGCTTTTCCAATGGTTTGCTTAATGTTTTTCCCTACATAAATAAGAATGATGTTATACACTCTTTGTTTGGAGAGTAAATTAGAATTTTCTCGTAGGGCTTGGCTGGTCGAGTCATACAGCACTGAAACACATTTCACAAGGTCATAAAAAATTCTTCCACTCCAAAAAGGAAAGTGGCACTGACTTTTAGTTGTGCAGACAAAGTGGTAGCATGAGGTCCAATTATTTTTGAGTGTCTTAGAGCAAACCCTCCAAGAAATGCTCTGGGAACGCTTTCTGTGAAACGTGTTTTGTGTCTTGACAAAGGCGTAGTGAAAAATTAATATAGGTAGGATAATTTATGAAAATAGGAGTCTGAAATGCAAACCTGGATTATTTGTAAATAACCTGAGGACAAGAGTGGTCTGCATCAGTCAGCTTGCTCTTCCCTTAGCTGGGAGTATAATTCCCTTTCTGGTAGTATATGCACCTACACAGCACTGCAAATATCTTCGTGTTTCACTTTCCATTCATATGAGATGAACTGTCTTCTTGTGATCAGAATCTCCCAAAGCTTGATTCCTATCACATCTCTGCTTATCTGCCATCTATTAAGTGGAGAGTAGCTGTAATGTGCTCCCTCATATTTCATGAGTGAGAATGTATTATTTAGAGCCTATAACATTCACTTTCGGTCAAGGATTCCATCTTTCTCCTGTTGGGGTAAATAATTAATGCTGCCTTGGATATTTTGTGTCTGTGTGTGGGGTCATTAATTGAAAATAGTAACAATTTCTTCTGTGTTTTTTTCTAGTTTCAAGCCACAGTGAAGGAGGGAGTCACAGGTGTCATAGTGAACTTAACTGTTGGCGACAGAGATGACCCAGTGACTGGAGCATGGAGAGCTGTTTACACCATCATCAATGGAAATCCAGGGCAGAGTTTTGAGATCCACACCAATCCCCAGACTAATGAGGGAATGCTCTCTGTCGTCAAAGTAAGAACAATTTCCTTTTTTACTGTATTGCTGCTGTAAGGCCCATCCACTGGGCTCACTGCATAAGAGGAGGCACAGCAGGGATAAGTCATTCAAAGATATATAGTTGACTACCAACCCTTATCCAAATATATGTATAACCCCTTCTTCTGTAACAGTAACCTTATTTTTTAGCCTGTTGCTGACTGTATTGCCACTGTGTTAAATAACAGCCAGATTTGGAGTAAGCACCACAATTAATAGTGAGATTTTACAACAAGGTTTTGTTTGTAGCTGAAAGGATAATTAGAATCCAAGACCCCCATTTTGTACTCAGAGAACACAGATGCAAATACCAGGGAATTGAGGGATACGGCTTCAGACTGAACTGGAGAACTGTCTTTGGTCCCACATTTCTCAAGTCTCATGGAAATGTTTATTATATGTCTTTGTATGAAGATAATTCTATGTCTCACACTTAAAAAAAAATGGTCCTGGTTGCTGCCTGTGCCACAATTCTCTCCGTTTGACTTCTGAAGAAGCATTTTCAATTCTTAAGACAAATGGAATGTATTTCCATGGCAGTGCTTCTGATTTTAAGACAGCAGTTGAGAAAGCAGCTGGTGTTATTGTCATAAGTAACTACTAAGTATGACTGATTTGCTTGTTAAATGCATAGTACATCATAATTCACCAGGTATATGTGAGAATTGAATTATTTGTATGAGGTATGGCAAAAAAAGAGTATATGCTCTTGGACAGAGGGACATCTCCATCTTTTTTTTAAGTCCATCATGTTCATTACAGGATGTAACTGACATTTATATCCTAAACTAAGCTAAGTCTAACCCTAAACTCTGGCCAAGTATCAGGTGCAGTGAACGCTGTTGTCCCTTTCTGGGTAATTCTGCCTTCTTGCAAGTTTGCAATGGGCAAAGGGAAAGAGTTAAGGGTTAAGTTGCACCTTGCCCTCTGACTTTATGTTTTACAGCCTTTAGACTACGAGATCTCAGCGTTTCACACGCTGCTCATCAAGGTGGAGAACGAAGACCCTCTGATCCCAGACATAGCCTACGGCCCCAGTTCCACAGCAACAGTCCAGATCACCGTGGAGGATGTGAATGAGGGGCCAGTTTTCCACCCAAACCCCATGATGGTGACAAAGCAGGAGAACATCCCCGTTGGCAGCGTGGTGCTCACAGTGAACGCCACCGACCCCGACACCCTGCAGCACCAGACCATCAGGTGAGTGCAACACCCTCCAATTTTCAGCCTTCAGAAAGTGAGGACGTGCATAGAAATGATTTCTCTGTTTCACATAGGGTTTCAATCAGTTTATGATCATTTATACTGTCCCTCAGTGAAATAACGACCATCCATCCACATTCAGGAGCTGAGAAAATACTTCCCAGTGAAAGACTGAAGCTAAAGTAAGCTCAGACTTGGCCTTGTCCAGACAAATGAAATTAAATTATTATTATTTCTGTGCTATGATAATATAATCCCACACATGTGCCGTGTCAGCAAGAGCAAACATAGGTATTAGATGGTGCCATCATCTTATATTTTGATCCACCTGGTTTGGTCTTTGGTTTTAGGTTTGTAGAAAATGGGAAAAATCAACCACTTTGTTCTCTAATACTTAATTGGCTTTCTAGAGAGCTTTTCTCAGCTTTTGAGAACCGCAGGTTAGGGCACTACCAATAAAACCTGCAACTGGGTTTAATGTTTCATCCTTACTAATTTTCCCTGGATACCAGTGCATAGAAAAGAGCATAAACACCTTTGTGAGAATGACTTCAAAGCTTTATGTGAGCACTGTGCACTGTCAGTCTATCCCACAGACATGGATTTCTCTGCTATCCCAAGTTTTTTTGGCAGTGATTGTGCAATTCTTAAAGTGAGTTTGACTCATGTAGTGTTCTACAAAAAGGAAGCTGCTGATCTGGAGGATGTTGGTACTGTCATTACAAGTGTTGGTAGGCGTGTCCCTGCAAAGGACTTGGATTTCCATGATGAGAAGGTGAATTTAAGCAGGAGAGAGTGCTCATGTCCAAGGAAGGAGGGAAAAGGCAGGGCAGACAATTCAAAGTTTAAATTCTCTGCATCACCTCAAAGATACATTGTTAATAGCAAAGGAGTATTTCAGTTTTTCTCTATCAAAACCACCTTTGACTTCTACCCTTGAAATATCTGAAGGATGATTCTTGCCATGTGTCATTCCCCTTGTTTTCTAAATGTATTTATTTACAGGATGAATTTTTATTCTTAAGTTTAGCTTTTGCTCCAAAGATTCCTTACTTCTTTCACTGTGGTCACACAAGTTCATGTCTATGGATGGAATTTCTGTTGCTTACCAGTTAGAGTAACATGACCCTCAGCAGTTTTATTCAGCACCTGGCTTGTGCAGGGAAGAGATATTTATTTCCTTTGAGACTTGAACTGAGTTTAAGAAACATAATTATTGAAGTTCTCCATAACTTTATGTGTTTTCATAGGAGATAAGAAGAGTCATATTAATTAATGTAACAGTTTATTTTGTGATGCTAGAAGAGAAAAGCTGAGAAAATGTAAGGATTTGGTCATCAAAAAGCAGTTCAGAAATTATTACCTGACATTTTGCCCTTGACCTACTGATTTTGCTGGATTTCTTCTAATTACATTGATACTGAAATTATCAATTTCAGTAAGTCAGTGAGTCATTTAATCCTCTTAAGTGAGCTTTAAGTATTGTGTGTAACCAGTTAAGTAACACAAACACATTTTGTAGTTCACCACAGCTCACAACTGGCTGGGAAGGGACTCTCAAACCTTGACTTATAAGTGACTCAGAATTCTCCCAGAAATGTTACTATATCTGCATAGAGCAATGGTCATATACAGAAACTGTGTGAATGGAAGTGACTGTATAAGTTAGAAGAAAATCCTGCAAATGTAATGGAAATCTGGGAAGTGGGGGAATGCATCAGGAAAGGCTAATTTGACTACCTGTAAGTCCTTTTGCTAAAACGACAGGAAAGCATAAACCAGCATTTTTAAAAGGTGCTTTTAGTACTGGCAGGTGTTATTGAGACACCTGGCTACTAGCAGTGAAAAAAAAGAGGACTAGAATATAAGAATAGCATCTGCAATAAAGGACAGGGTAAAATTTCATGTATAAAGACCAAAACTATTCCCTAGTTGGAGTCTGACTGAAACGTTCTCTCCCAAGTTTCTGCAGGCAGGTGTGTGTTTAGAGTTTGGGCCAACGTCCAGGACTTTTGTACAGCACAGAAACACAAACTGCAGGGTTCTCAGCCTGTGCTGCTGTGATGGTATCAGAGTGCTTACTGTGATTATACTGCAAAAATAAAGGCCAAGCAGGGACAGCACAGATTTTAAATGAGATATTACATTAAATATTAATGACCATGAGCAAGCAGTGTTTTGTCTGCAAGAAGCAATGAATACCAGATTTGTGCAGTGTGTGCTCTATGAATCGTGTACATCCCCCCCAACAAGGTACAAATCTGTTTAAAATGGGTAGAACAACATAGAATTAGTAACGTTGGTGTTTGTTTTTTTTTATTTTCAACCCATTGCAACTCAGATATCTCTAACTTCAGGGATATTTTTAGTTAATTTTCTATATAAAACTTGCAGAAGGGGCTGATGATTATTTGTAATCAGGAATTTTAGTTACTCTGCTAGATATAACACCATAAATGCATTTCAAGACCCATGAAAAGAGTAGAGAAACCATTTTTGCCATTATCTGCAACTAGATTGAATTTATTCTTTGAACAATGCATATCTGAATCAGATTCAAATTACTTATCTCTGGAAAACGTGGCTTACTTTGTAAAATTTCCTAAAGACAGCTGTACTTTTGAAGCAATTTTCCTCCTTATTCTTCAGCTTGAAGTGTTTTTGCCGCCTGAGAAAGAATTTGATTTAAAGGCTCAAACAAGCTGGCAAAAATGTGTTGCACTGTAAAAAAAATAAGACTCCAGTATTCCCAAGACTCTGAAGCACATTCCTGGAGCTCTGGTGGTAGAGAGGAAGGAGCAGACAGGACCACAAGTTTTTCCACCTCAGTGTTCATTCCACTGTGAGCACTCCCAGAAAAGAACCTCTTCAAACTGGATCACATTTCTCAGATTCATTAACCTTTCTTTTTTTCTTTTTCTTTTTTTTTTCTTTTTTTTTTTTTTTAAAGTATTTAATTCTCTCTACAGTTTCCATCTTTTTTAGAATTAAAAAAAAAAAAAAAAAGAAAGAAATCCAGCAGGCCCCATTTTAATTATAACCCAGCAATTTATTAATAGAACAGTAATGAAGTTTCTGAAATTTGATTTCTTAATCAGGGATCATTGTTATTTTTGTGCCAGATTTAAGAGTTTAATTTTGGGTACTTCTTCCCAACCTCTGAAATTTTAATCAGAAGTTTCAAGTGTACATGTCAATGAGAAGTTAAAGGCCAAATTTAATAACATTTTCTACCTTGGGAAATTAAAAGAAGAACCTCACTCAGAAATCCATTATTAACAGTAGATCTTAATTAAACATGGTTATGGTTCTCAATATTTGTCTGTGTGAAGAGATTGGTTTCAGTATTTTTCCCTTTTTTGGATTCAACAAGTCCAGGATATTCAATAGTTAGACTTTTAACACTGTGTAAACAAGTTGTTTACTGCAGTGTATTTGTAATTTTTAATTAAATAAAGCAGTGTTGTTTTCTGGTTTCATGGCTTATCATGGCAATATATTTTTATTACCTACTGTGCTGTTGGATTTTAAATTATTTATGTAAATACATTGTTGCAATATTTATTCCCAGTAAACCATGTGACTCAATGCTTCAGAAACATCTTCACAAGAAAAGTTTATTGTAGCTCTGAAGCACATCTAATTCATTAAGTAGAATTAAAATGCAGTATTTGAAGCTGGAGAACTTAGAAACAGAACCCAAACTGCAGCGAGTTTCACGGGAACATGAAAGGCTGCAAAAAATATGTGTAAATGGAGTGATATGTGTAAATAAGGTGTGTGTTTGTTCATGTGAGTCTGTGTGTGTACAATATTTATACCTGCCACAGAATCAAGCTGCCCAAAGAGTACAAGTGGCTTCTGGAAGCACAGGGCCATTGGCTTAGTGTTGAGGTCTCAGCTGTAGGGATTTAAAAGCCAATTTTTGGCTTGGAAGTCGTCATCCTTTTATTTGATTCTGGTCTCTTTATATCGCCGTGTCATTAATTTGGTGGAATTGCACAAATATGAAATCTGTAAATCCCCCTTTGTTTGACAGTTATCATTTCAGGTTAGGGCAGCCTGTGATGGATCCAACTTCCCAGCAGGAGGTGGGTTCTCCTGGCCATTGGGCTGCTGTGGCACTGCCATTGCACTGCCTGTGTGTTCCACAGCTCTGCTGCTCTGCAAATAGGAGCAAAGTCATTTATTACGGTCAGCCTTTCCAAACAACAGCTCCTGGTCTGTCTGGAAGGTTCATAGACTCTGTTTCTCTTTATATAAAGTGCATTTTTCTATACTGCAAACTGTGTATTTTAATGAGGCTTCATCCTGCACCATCAGACCCAGGGGATGAGGCTGAACCCAATGGAATGCAGAGGGATCATGTTTGTTATTTGTCATTTCTCTAAGAGCTACTGAACAATGGACTGACTTTGGGAATGGAAATTTTTACTACTGGGCCACATTTTGCTTTAGATCAGATGACCCTGACTTTGGGGTTGGGGCCTATGGAGTTGGTGGAAGTCAGTGGAAATATTCCAAACTCTAGTTGGAGGCAACCATGATCTGTATACTCTTTGTCAAAAACAAAAAAATGTCTGCCTAAAATTCTGTAAAATAGTGCTGAAACTCCACTGAAGTGGGATTTGTAGTTCAGTGACTTTCTCCCAAATCTCAAATCACTGAGAAAACTAAGGAGAATTCACTGGACAAAGTAAATTTTGCTTTTATTGCTTTTCTTTGCTGCCAGTCACCACCCTTACAAGCAGTGAATATATAAGCCATGAATTGCAAAGACAATTCAAAAAGCCCTTTTCATGTCTCTTGCCAGGATTTTTTCAGAGATCCTGAAGCCCCCCTGAACAAGGATGAGGCTTCACATCACATTGCTCACAATCACTTAAGGGATCAATTTTGCATACTTTCTTGCACATCAAGCCTTTTTAAAGCACTTTTGTTGCTGGTGGAGGTCAATAAACTTGCTTTTTGGGATACACTACAATCACTTACAGAAA